GGGGGGGGGAATAACCAAAGCATCGTCGGTCGAGATAATTCCAGACAGAAAAGCAGAGCAACCAGTGGTGAGTATCACAAACCTAGACAGAATCGAAAACATGTACTATGGGTGCCACCACACTCGGGAGCATGTACGCGGTTCGATTCCATTGGTGGCAGTTTGGTCTCCTGGGCGGTAGTTGGTTGGAAGCGTGTGAATGTAGGCAAACGTGCTTACCTGAACGTGTTGGGTGCAGGGACGACATGTCGAAACAATGGACCGAACCCTCAACTAGCAACACCACTGTCACGGACAGCTGCTGCTGATGTTGGACAAAACGAACCAAATGGTTAGTTGCTGCTGGTGTTGCTGCTGCTGCTGCTGCTGCTGCTGCTGCAGAGATACATCCCCCCAAGTGTCGTCTATTGTCTAACGTAGATAGAAGATACAATCGACCGTGCGTTGGAGACATGCATACCTGTTCCGTCCTTTTCCGTGGACTGCCCCACCCCCGACATCTGTCCAGCACGCCACTCGCCGACGTACTCCAAGCCCGACTTCGCTGTCCATCGACCAACGCCTTCTCGCTGGCCATGGACAAACTGATACATAGGTCATGTGGGATGGAGAAGAATACCGGTAGTCAGTGGGATACTGTTCCGTCGAGCGTCATTGTTGTGGGAAAGGGATACCGCTCCGCGGCGCTCCGCGGCGCTCCGCGGAGTGTGGTCGTTTGGGAAAAAAATAGGCTGAGAGGAGAAGGATGGGTCCCAATGTCCGAATATCGGGTTAGTCGAGGCGTGTCGGTAGAGCTTTGATACGGGTTAGGGTATCTTGAGATGAGGTGGAGGCGGCGCACGTTCCATCGCTCTATGATACAAGTGTACATGATTTCCTCTGGGGCAGGGCACCCGCCTGTACGTGTGGATGGAGGTACGAGACTGCTCCATGCAGGACATACTTCTCGTTTGTTTCTCCCACCGTCGTGAATGGAAACACTAGGAGGAACACAGCATAACAACATGAAAACCAACAAGACAATTCATAGCAACCCAGAAAAACACCCGCTAGGGTAGGGAAAGGACAGCCAATGCTCACTACGTCCATTCGCCAGTCGAACATCGCTGTCAAGGGTGGACTGTCTACGCAAAGAAAGCAAGGCGAATAATTTATTAGAACAGAAAGAGAGCAGGCAGGGGGCACGGCAACCCTAACCCTAACCCCAATTCAGGCGATACTTAAACCGGCATGTTTTCTTACGCAGAAAAACCTGCGTACCTACGTTTGTTCCTTTCAAAGCTACAGAAGTAATCGATGCAATGCTAGATCAATGCGCACGTCATGCTTTCGGACTAACGCACAACGGCACACACATACCTCCCCGTCGTAGACGTTCCCTCTGGCGTCGCAGTGAACGCCTCCCCCGTGGAACTCCCCGTCCTTCCAACGCCCGCTATACGTCTCCGTGCCCCTGATGACCGAGTTGCCCACGCCAGTTCTTTTGTCATCCACCCTGACAAAGGCAAACAATACCACCAGTCAGTTCGGTTCCGTCAAGGGCGAGGGCTTGGACACATCGGAGAAAGCGTCATACTCGAGGTGTGTGTCACTATGAGGCTCCGTTGTAAGGGGTTCCGCAGCACGGCCCTCTTGAGCAGCATTTGCTGATAGAATCATATTTTTCCCTGCAAGAACAATTGCGAGGGATGAGGGTCTTTACTTGAGCCGTCGGAAAATATTGGTGGATTGGATATTGACATGATAAGGGTGCAGATCACGGCAGAAAATGGACGCAGGGAACGCCAGCACCTTGATCTACCGGAGACTTCCTGGGACTTTCTCTACACGAACAATTGTAAGAGGTAAGGAACTAGGTTGCCTTCAGATGCCGTCATTTGACTAGACAGACACAACACAAGAGTATGCAGGGAAGCGAGGCACTGTGACCTATTGCAGTGGAAATTTCCAGGATTTTTCTTTCCTCACCATTCTCCGTCGTACACGAAATCCTTATCACCCGATGTAAGCACCCCTCGCCCGTGTCGAGCGTCTTCGACCCAGTCCCCCTGGAACAAAAGTTGTTGTAACTACTGTTGTTGTTGTTGTTGTTGTTGTTGTTGTTGTTGTTGTTGTTGTTGTTGTTGCTGATGCTGCTGTTGCTGCTGCTGTTGTTGCTGTTGTTATTGTTGTCTTCACAATAAAAAATCGTCCCGATCTCTACTGGTGGTACCTTGTTATATCCGTTCTGGTTCAACTCAAGCGGGCGTCCTCCGTGGTCACAGGCCAACGGCAATACTACTAAAGAAATAAGCAACAACAAAAAAAGCACAAATTGGTTGAGGAAGAATCACGCGCGCGGGCGTATGTAATTGGTGTAATTGGCTGATGCAATACGGAACAACGAGAATGAGAACAGCCAAAATGTTCCCATCGCCAAATGGAACCAGCTGAATTATGGACAAATCAAACAATAAAGTAAAGTGCTACAGTACCGATCGTGAATAACCGAACTCGGATCAATGGTTCCGCAATGGAGAGGAATCCTTTTGCGTGACCATGGCTTGGACCTCCTACCAGGCAGAAATGTGGTGACTGTTGAGAGCTGATTCAAACTTATGAAATGCGAACGTTGATTAAAAGTGATGGATTGCTGTGAGCGCTGGTTGAAAATATATACCCCATAATATATAGGTAAAGCAACTGCCTACCTCGTAACTGTTCCCAGTGGCTCGTTCCTCGTACACGCCCACGCCGTGTCGACGCCCGTTTCTCCACGAACCGGTATAGGTGTCCCCGCTCCCCTCGTACGTGTACGTCTTAACGCCAGACTGCGGCGCCCCTTCCGACCCCGCCTTCTTGGCACTACTGCTGCTACTAACGTCGTCGATGAAAAAGGCGCCCGCGCCGGCCAGCCCGTTGCTGCACAGCAGCGCATTTGCCAGCGTGCTGCTGCTGCCGTTGCCGTTCGAAAAGCTCGCTCCTGTTGACGGACGGAGCACAGCTTTGTTGGGATCGCTGCTGTGGCTGCTGTTGTTGGTGTTTCCGCCATCGCCGCCGGAGAAGGAAGCACTGTTGTTATTTTCCGAGCGCAGCGACGATGATGATGGGAACGCCTCCGATGGGTTTCCGTTGGCGCCCGCGAGGCGGTGCGACGACTGCCACACGGCGAAGTTCTCCGACTCTGTCCACAGCTCCGACCACCTGGTGTAATTGGCCCGTTCATTCATTGGGAAGGGGTGCCACAGGAAGCGAGGAGTTTCGGGGACACAGACCTTGGGAGGAGCGAACCGGAAAAACACGAATCTTCATGAGAAACCAACGGTTCCTCGACGCTACAGACCGCAAGGTTCGGTGGTAGACAAAGAATTAGAATCTCCTTCTTCGCATTGGTGCGCGTGGGCCCTTGATTACAAAGACAAAAAATCAAACGAAGCCGTTACCATCAGGAACGACGCTGGATCCGATACCCAACCGTTTCTGGTTCCGTCGCCACCGACAACAAAGTTCTAAAACGAACTCGTTGCCATCAGGAATCTACGCTGAGTCAAATACACAGCCGTTTCCTGTTTCCCATAATAAGCTAACGCTCAACAAATAAAGCTTCCGCAGAACCATCCTCTGCTGTGCTCGGCTTACCGTTTGCCGTGTGCTTCTAGAGCTGTCGCTACTGGGACGGGTCCTGAGCCATTCAGCCAGGTAGCTGTCTGCTGCCATGCCTGATGTTTGCATTCGGAGGGACAGGTGTGGGAGATAGAAAAAGAAGGGTGGTAGCGGTGACTAAGAGAAGAACTGCCAACGGTAACGACTACTCAGATATACAGAAATTGCAAAACGAGGGGAGTAGAGGTGCCGAGCACCTGGTGATCGTACCGTTGTCAAAAACACTCAACCAGACAGATTTTTCACCTTCACCGTCTTGCTGGCCCGGACGATGGAACGCTCGCTTCAGACGTGCATTTGCAGAGAAAGAGAAAAAAGAGCGGATGGGCAATCCGAGCACCCTGCCTATTACCACCTCATCTCCACCTTTCTGAGGCCGATGCCCTCTAGGGTGGGGGTAACCACTCCAGCGATCATCTCCATCGCGGAGCCCCTCCCTCCATTTTCCAATTCAGCCTTTCGTCTCTGCTCCTCCTCTTCCTCTTCTCGTCTACGGGCTTGTTCGAGGCTGGCATTTCGCGCCAAGCACCTTTTGAAACACACATACACACGAGATTTGATGAATTGCAGAAGAAATGAGTGGGTGAGACAGGAGATGAAGCCAAACGAAGCAACTGGTGTCCCACGAAACCACAAGAAGAGACATGAAACTAAAAGAACATGAAAAAACTCAAGACAAAGAAAGGACAGCGGCAGAAGCACCTACGGCAATGACAGATCTGACATGTGGTGCACGAAATGATACTGGAACAACTTACGTCGGACGGGTGATACACCGTCGTACCCCGCCGTAAACCAGACACACCTTCCCTTCCGTGCCGAAATCGCAGTACGCAATTCTCGCACTTCCGGTGTGAACCCCAAAAAACACAAAAATGCGATGAAAAAACACGCACAGTCGTGAACGATCGCCATCCGCACAACCACAAGAAGCGTCACAATGATCCTTCCTAATGATCGACCAACACCAAGTAGCACCCCAAGGCAAGGCAAGGCAAGACAGCGATGGAGCGAGCGACCACTCACTCGGCAGCCGTGGTGACCAGGTCTTCGAAGTGAAGCTGGAACTGGTCTGCTATCCAAGCCGAAGAGCCCTGCCACCCAACGCCTTCCATCGAACCGTCTCCCCCCACCCCTCCCCCCAGGTGCCTCTTCGTTGCTCGAACTAGCTCCCTTCACAGTGTCACAGTGGAAAAACAAAGCCGAGCGGGCAAAAAAAACAGACGAGACAACGCAAGGGGAATCGGCAAGGAGCATCGTGCAGGAGTGATACACTCGCTCCCCACTCCTCTGCCGATGTGCATCTTGTTGACACCAACCCCAGCCTCGCAAAAAGGGGACAAAGATTGGCGTCGTTGAAGATGATACATTAACGGTGACGGTTTCAGAATGTATCCCATTAATAGTTAAACTATTTAGAGAGAGGAAGCATACCAGACGCTCGGTTGTTGAAGTGGCTTGTCAAGTTTGCGAGAGACGCTCATGGTGTGATGTACGGGAAGGCCTGACTGAGCATCTTTTCCGTCCAGGCACTCGTCTCTAATAAAGCCGCAGCCGCTATTGTTGGCAACGTAAAGGTACAGCAGTAGCCGCCCCACGGCCAGCGCAACTAAGTGAAAGAGAGAGTAAAATCACCCCCACCTTCCCTTGCTCCTAAAATTCCGCTTTAATCTTTCAGCGCTCGGTTACTTCCATCAGACGAAAAAAATACACGAACCCTGCACGGAAGGCAACCCTCTCCCTGAACTGTAGGTGCTTTGTGAATGCCTCAAATTCGGTTGCCAACCCGGAAGGAGGAGACGGAACAAAGAGCGGGGGGAATCACAAGAGAGCAATGGTACTTCTTTTCACGTGTGTGCCAAATCTCCACACAAGAAAAACGCGCCCCTCCCCCCAAACAGCAGCAGTAACGGCAAGAACAGCAACAGCAAAATAACAGCCAGCAGAAAGTGAAAGAAGTAACCTTACCTTGCGAAGCTTCTATCTGGCTCTCCCATGTCCAGAGCCGCCTTGGCCCTGTCCGTCTTACCCCAGCTAGCCTCCCATGTGTCGACATTGAGCAGCAGGTCTAGGTCCGCGTTGGGCATGACTTGCATCATGGAGTTGGTAGTACCTGCATGCATAGCGTGCCTTAGCGTTATTCCTACTATTTGTGTGTAGACGGAAGTGGTTGCGCCTTTATGTGAGCTCTTCGGAGGCACCAGCCGGAGTTACGCAGTAGGAAGGCCACACACACGAGATTATTGTATTCTCTGTGTTCCTTCAGCAGTTTTCTCTTCATGTCTCCAATTCTATCAGAACACGGTGGAAGCGGGACAGGAAAGACTGAGACAGAAATCCAGAAAAAACACACACAGGGCCAATCGGTTGGGATCTCTGCGACAACGATAGTGGTGAAAGTATTTCTTTTGGGAGTGACGAAGACGAAGGAAAGGGAAAGGGCAGAAAGGAGGATGAAGACGACGATGGAGCAGGAAAACATGGAGGAGTGGAAGAGAGCAAAGGGTTNAAGTATTTCTTTTGGGAGTGACGAAGACGAAGGAAAGGGAAAGGGCAGAAAGGAGGATGAAGACGACGATGGAGCAGGAAAACATGGAGGAGTGGAAGAGAGCAAAGGGTTTGAGCCAGATGACCTTCCCCACAACAAGAAACGTAGGGCTAGGGAAGAACTGCCCAGAGATTCTTCTTGTC